CCCCCCCCCAAAAAAAAAAAAAAAGGAGGAAAAAACAGAAGATAAAGCTGCTTACAGTAATTGGAGGGTCACGAGCGCGACCTTCCTTGTCGGCGTCTGTTCCTTGGCTTTTTCTGTTAATCTCCTGTTCGGAAAAAAATAACGAAGGGGGAGTTTACCTCAAGGATTTGTTTCTGCGTGGAAACAAATCACCTGCAAGAGATTTCACCCAGCAGCCAAAGGCTGGGGAACGAGGCTGTGAGTCTGCCATAAGGTACCTGTATAGGAGCTTGCTAGCATTTTTCTGCCTTTTGCCTTCTAGGATAATATTTGTGCAGGGGGTTGTCAGCCTTCGGTTGCTGCCAGGGAGTCTAGTGGGGGGTCACAGCCCCTCTGCACCGTCAGCATTTGGCCTCTGATATCGAGCCTCTTAGCTGGGCTTGTTCTCCAGATGCGGTGCAAGTGAGGAGGGGAGAACCAAGGGTCTCACTGGGAGGGTGCAGAAAGGGGGCTGTGCTGGAGGCACATCATATGCTTGGGGCCAGACTGCCTCTGCCCCAGCTGATGTAAAGCAGCTGGTGGAAGTGGAGCCCAGTGGCTCTTGCATTATCCGGGGGCTGATTGCACAGCTCTCCAGCCCAGAGCTGCCCGTGGATCTGCTCCAGAGAACTGCATCACACTGGGTGCATCTACACATTCATTAATGTGCCGTGATTACTGCGCATTAAGTTTAGTATTTAGATAACCAGGTACTAAATCAATGCTCAGTAATGGGTGCTACTGCACAGTAGCGCTGGCATGTGGGTTTTTACAGACACTAACTGCGCCGTCGCCAAATACTACTGCGCAGTAGCGTATTAGCGCAGGTTTTGCCCAGCGCACAGTGTTATTAGACTACTGCACATTTTGCATCGTGTGTAGATGCACCCACTGACATCCTCGTCCTTGCTCTGGACTCCAACAGCTCCTTGTCAAAACCAACCCTCTGAAACGCTGCTTGCTCTGCATGCAAGGGGCAGTGGTGGCCTTAGGGGAGGGCAAACTGGACAACCTCCCAGGGTCCCACACTTTAGGGGCCTCAACATTTTGCAACAAATGTCCAACTTGCTTATAGGTCATCAAAATTAAGCCCCGGAAGGGCCACAAATGCCTCTTTTGCTTTAGGGGGCCCTGAAATTTTGCAACAAATGTCCCACTTGCTTATAGGTCATCAAAATTCAGCCTCTAAGGGGTCCCAAATGACTCTCTTGCCCAGGGCCCCAACAACCCTAAGGCCACTACTGCAAGGGGCTCTGCACCGGATTAGCAGATACAGGCCCCAGGAGCAGGATTATGCAGCGTGGGGAGGATACAACTTCCTTAAACTAGACCAGCGTCCAGGAGCTGGCAGACAAGGAGCCTGGAGGGAGGCAAACTAGACCTGTGTGTGCAGCCAGCCCTCTTTCCTCTCTCTCTTTTTAAAGAGGTGTTTGTGGCCCCGTGAGCTGGGCCAGTGAGTGTGCACCCCCCAGGCTGCGTCCCAGGTGGCGCAGAAGGAACTTTGCCTTGTTTTAAGTTTCTTCCCAGGTCTTTTGTTGCACTCCTGTTGTTCCAGTGCCATCGCGGGGAGGGGAACCCCAGGAGCTCGCAGTGCTAGGGGACCCTGCCCTCAACCGCGGCGTTGCCTGCTCACTCTGCAGCAAGCCGCTGGAGCATCTCACACAACAGATCAACCCCTTTTGTGGTACCATCCCACGTCTTGGGCATGTGGGACCCCAGCTGTCTCACTCTCCCTGCCTGTTTGCCTAAAGCTCCCACCTTCAATGTGAAGACATATCTTTTGCTAACAGTGTTACCACAGGCCTAGAAGAGCTATCGATACCTATCACGTTCGATCACCATCAATCGCATTAGGAAGGAGGTTGGGATCGCTTTTATTTTTTGTTGTTGTCGTTGTTGGTTTGTTTTCTTTGGAAATGATCCTAAGACAAGAAAGGAAAAGAAATTAAATGAAGAAATAAAAAGTCTATACTATTTAAATCGGACTCCCGTTGTTACTTGGTAAAAGCAAAGCTTCTGTACTTTGTTATAATTAATTGTATACCTGTGTATGTAAATATAAGGCATTCCTATTTTGCAGTCCAGAACAAAGAAAAAAAACAAAACAAAACAAAAAAAACCTATTTGTAATATAGAATAAAGTTTATTAAAAAAAATAATAAATCCAAAAAGCACAGCGCTCTGCTCGCCTCCTTCTTGGGGCTGGCTGGGGGTGGAGGGTGGAAGCCAGAGGAGGACTACCTAGAGATTTTGGGAAGGTACTTGCAACCTTTCTGGTACCTGCTAGGTCCCCCACCCTCAAAGTAGCAGGCTGGTGCTAACCAACGGGACAGTGCTTCGTGTTGGAAATGAAACCCAGAGCGGCCTTGTCTCTCCATGCTCACCAGTCCCTGGGCTGCAGCGCAGAGGGGTTTGGACGGCAGCTAGGAGCGGCCCAAAGTGAGAGCAGCCTTAGCTGGCTGCGTCGGTGTGATGGGACCCCATGTCGGCCAAGACCGTGCGCGAACAAACTCCCTGGGAGGTGTGGTAATTACAGGAGAGCTAAGTTTAGGGCTTAAATGAAAGCCAGCTTTAATAACTAGGGCTTCTACATAACTGGGGAGAAAAAAACAGACAAATAATGGCTTAAAACACACCAGCTTTTCACTCGCATACCTAGCCAGTGCTTTTGTCTCAGTCCCCAGTTGGTCCCGGCGGCAGGTGGGAATTGTCGCTGTCGCTGCAGCCAACTTCACCCTCGTTCCTGGAGGTCTTGGCTTCTTGGTTGCCCCTGCCCCACCACTCCAGCCGCTTCAGCTGCAGTCCCCATGTGGGAAGCTATTTGTCTCCCCTCTCTGGGGTTGCACCCCAGCAGGCTGCTATGGACGCATAGATTGTAGAGTCAGAAGGGACCGCAAAGGACCATCACGTCCGGCCCCCTGCCCCTGGCAAGAAAGAGGACCAAGGTCAGATGACCCCAGCCAGGTGTTGTGCATGCTCGGGGGTCTCCTGCTTATATCTTCTCTCCTCACCAGCTCTAGAAAGAGCCAGAGTCTGGGGAGAGGGGCTGGTCCAGCACCATCCAGAGGATGAAGAGCATCTGCCAGCCCACACCCAGCCCCTCTGTCTGCAATGCAGCCATTTACACTTTCCCCACCAGAACTAGCCCCATCCAAAGAAACACTTTCAACATATACCAAACAATGCAACCACATCAATCATCACGGTGGGTAATGGGGGGACTGGCTAAGAGGTCTTGCACAGGGGGGTGTTTGGGAACGATGGAGCCACCATTCTCCAAAAGCAGCCCCCACCGCTGGCCTGCTTGCAGCTACACTGCTGAGCTGGACTTGTTCCCCATGCACTGGCTGGAGGGGGAGAAAGCCAGAAGGAGCAGGGCCCCGTGCCATGGCCCCAGCAGTGCCTGCAATGGGACCACTGGCTTTCAGCCTTTCCCACACTGTGCCTTTACATTAGAGAGCTCGGAGATGCCCTCCTCCAGCTGCAAGAGGGTGCCCAGGACCCCAGAAACCTCTGGTGGTGCCCACCCCAAATGGAGACCCTGCGGGTTCAACGGGACCCATAAGCATGAAACTCCTTCACAACCCAGAGGAGGTTGTGGCTAAGACTTCTCTGGGCGGGTCCTGCCGCGGCAGAGGGCACGTTGGTCTTTCATTCACCTACGGCAGCTTTGGCCCAGTGAGGCCCACGGTCAGCAACCCCTATACAGCTGTGGGCCCCTCCTTGCCTTGCACTTGGGGTTTGGTTCATTCGTCTCCCACAAAGGTGATCTCAAGTAGTGGCAATTATATCATTCAGTGCCCAGGGAGACGTACAGGTGGCAGGGGCCGGCTGCCCTGTGCTGGCAGCAAAGAGGGTACGGAGAGCCTCCAAGTGCCAAGGCTTTATGTAGATGAAAGGCCTTTGCTGGCAGCCTGCCTGCAGGTATAGGGGCTGTTGGTGGAGAGATCCCCCTTTGCACGCAGTTAATGGGTGTCCAGCTGCTGGTCTTAGGAGCATCCAATGCTAGTGCCAACAGGTGGGGTGGAGGAGCTGGCAATGCATAGCCCCCAGGGTGACCTGAGTCTGGTCCAGCGCTGTGCCGGGCACTCCCCAGCTGGCAGCTGCAGCATGGGTGGTCTACGGAGCACCTGGCTGTGGTCTGGCCCAGCGTCCCCTTGATCTTGATGTGCTAGAGCAGAAGATTGGCTGGGGCGTTAGCCACTAAGATGCTCCTGGATCTAATAGGCAGCACCTGGGATTCAGGAGCCCTCAGTTCCCATCCCAGCTCTGCCACTGACCTGTTGTTTCACCTTGGGCACGTCCCTCCGCCCCATGCACCTGCTTCTCTCTGTGCTCCTGGGGCTGCCTGGATGCCTCAAGCTGTCATGTCACCAGGGCAGGGACCATCTCTTACTGGTTGTTCGCACAGCCTCTCAGCTCAGCTGAGGCATCACATACTCCTAACTCTTGGGAGTGAAGTAAAACCCAGCCTGAACCTTTACCTAAAATTCAGAGGTTAAAAGGGAACAGACTAGGGTCTATATATGG